GACTCATACATTTCGACTACGTTTACACTTCGGTTGCGCAAGCTTGGAACCCTTCAAGTATTTCAGCACGGATGGCCTTACAAAGAAAAAACTGTTTGAACAGAAAAATATTTTCTTATAACAGAGGAAAGCTCGACAAACGTGATMACCGTCGCGTGGTGTCTAAAATTTTCTGTTTATTATTCGTTATATTTCGAATGGAATTTAATAATAATTTGCWTGTTTGCTTGGTTCTAATTAGTCGTTTTCCCGAGAGCACCGTTGTAAGTAATTGTACAACAACAAGGATACTAAAGMAATGGTAATTAGCCAAGCAAAAGGAAATCCAATTTGTAGAAACAGAAAATGTCTTCAAGATCATTTGCTCCGGTCTAGTAATAACCTGTCTACCTTTCTGTAATTTCCTTATTTCGAAATCTCAATTTACTTTAGARCCAAGACTTAATCAATTTCACCTTTCAAGTAGATCAGAAAATGGAGACGGTTTTTGACGTTAGCCAAATAAAATCAGCACAAGGCATCATGATGAAACGTGTATCCAACGTTTGTCAATAAAGAGCAAAGTGGAATTGATTTTCATTTGCATGTYGGAAAATTGATTAGATTCAAAGGAAATATTCAAAGAAAAAGGTAGTAGTTCTTAGAACATTAAAAAAAGAAGGTTTAAAGAATGTCCTAAGTCGATAGGAATTAGGATTATTGCAGTCGAAGGATGCTCTAATTTTTTAGTTTTTCTAAAGTGATGAGATGGACATCAAGAAGATGTTACATAATAAGCCAGTAATGTTAAGGGTAATTGCCGACAGACAAATATTCATTTCACAAACAGATCCCGRCCTTTTTTCATTAGTGAAACTTTATATTACAAAAACATATCACTGACACTATTTCTAATAGTAATTAAATCATAATTGGTTGTGAAATGAGTAAAAATTAGTTTTTATGTCACTAGAACATCAATTGTTCGCGGCGACTCACGAGCAGCTGAATATATCGTACCCGGTCTTTTATGTGGATTTACAACTCTCTTTATGGGTTATGATTTCTATTGTGTTTTGTCTTATGAATATTAATGAGTTTTATAACGAGATATAAAGGCCCATCATGTGACCCAATAGTTCGATGCTCATTGGACTAATAGCTCATTAATTATTAATGAGTTTTATAATTCATACTAAATTATTACATTCTGGTTGATAACAAATAGTGCTAAAAGTGTCACATAAAGTTTAGTTTCGCCTATACAAAACAAAGGAAATCACATAATTCAGTACAAGTTAACACTCTTTAGTTAATAAAGCTGTGCATGGTCTTTGTGTTTTCATTCTAACATTTAACACCCTCCTCAGTATCTCACTCAAGGTGTCGATGTCTCGATTTCATTACCTTTTATTCAAAAGCCTGGTGTCATCTTGGCATCGTTTCAGTTTTTACAATATCGAATAAAACATTCTAATTTGTAACGAAGTTCGCTACAGATTACGTAAATCAGAATGAATCTATAGGCAAGTAATTACTTAAGGAATACTGACCAAAGAACTTATTACTATGCCAATCCTGCATACATGACTTGTGGTAGCTATGGAACTTTTGAAATATACCATGTTTTCTGGCATTTAGATTTTTGATTTTTAATCTTCGGTAAGAGGCGCCTTCTAAGGGACGGTCCATTTAACTTTTGAGGGGGGTGGATGATTTCTTGTGAGCAAGATTTTTTTTTTCTTCGTGGCTTTTGGGTAGGATATTTTTTTTTTCTCTTGGTGGTGTGTAGGATTTTTTTTCTTTTTGTATGTAACATTTTTTGGGGCTTAGGGTGGTGCAATATTTTTTTTAGGTCCACTGTTGTGCAAGTTTTTTATTTTTGGTGAAGATGGCTTGCAGGATTTTTTTTCAAAATCATCCACACCCCCCCCCCCCCCCCCTCAAAAGTTAAATGGACCGTCCCTAAGGCAGAAGTAGATTGGCACTAGGGGTATTATCAAAATAATTGATGAAGAAGTTAAAACATACAAGAAGAAGAGGAACGGAAGAGAAGAGGAATATGAATGACAAGAACCGCAAATATTTGTAAATATATTGAATGTATTTATTTCATTATAAAACAATAACAATTGCTTTTTTTTCTTATACTTTTTTTGTCTATTCTATGATTCTAAAGTTCCATAACAAACTGAAGAAGAAAATATAGTAAATCAATCACGATAATTCACTTAACCCTGCCAGGCTTTCCAATAAAAGGTGGCACCGAAGCCTTTAAGTGGGTCTAGAAGGTTCTCTCTGGTAAGTAATTGCTGYCAGTTGAGGAGAGTAGGGCGGAAGCTCTGCTCTAATTGGTTAAACAATTGTGTCACGAAAACGCTTAGCACTTAGAACTCTTAAAAACTATTTTAAGGTCGAGCAAATAGCACTTGACGAATTTTRAGAGAGCACGTCTTAATGCTACACAGTATTCGAGAAGAAAACTTTTCATTTAAATTCAATTCATGAGTCAATAATATCGTAATTACATTTGCGTAACGACTTTATTGCAACCTACAATATTTTAACAWAAACTTATTTAACTAGATTTGCAATAGATAAGACAAACGCATACGGCAAATAAATGATATTTGTAAATACTTGGCATGATCAAAAAAGAAATTAAAATAACTATAACGCCCCAAGATAAAGTCGAATGGCCTTAGCGTCAAAATTATAATAACATATACATGCTATCTATACACAATGCACAACGATCTAATTACACCTGTCTTCAGCCACGTTTTTTCAATTTAAAAAAGAAAATAGCAAACAGTAATAAAAATTAACAAATATACACTTAAGAACAAGGTCAGAAATAAACAGATTTRAATGCAATTTTCGACGATATTAAAACAAGTGGAAATATAACGATTATGCTGCTGTTGATGAATTTTTATTTCACTATTAAGTTTTTGACAATTACTTTATAATTATTTTAGCTCCATCAAACATCAACACATTGAAAACCTGCTGCTAAACGCAATCCACTAATCAATGGCTGAGTAATTCAGAGAGGAACATGAATATTTTTCTGCGAAAAAAAAAAACAGGAATTGATTGAGTTAGGATATTGCAAAATAGATCATTTTTAAAATCTTACTTAATTATTCAACCTAACAATGGAAAACAACAAAATCAATCCGGCGGTTGTATGTGCTTTTCAATATTCTACCATTTTTTTTTTTTTTTTTTTGCTTTTAACGTGGGATGTGTTTGCTCAGTACTGCCACCATCTAGGAGACTTATTTCATCTTCAAAATTACTCTTTTTGAGTAGTAGTTTGTACAATTRTACAAACATTTTGACRCTATGATTAATTGAGAAAAATCTTCCACGCTGAGGCTATTGACATAGAATCTCTAAAAACAAAAAAAAGTCCWAAGTAATGGCTTTTCTAATATGCTGTCATTTATCTTTTCTATTTCATTAGAATATCATTCGTTCTCTCTATATTATCGTTCTTGTTGCGGTTAATGTTTCTCACGGCGCTCACGATACCGCTATGCATTGTATCAGTTTTTATAGCAGTTGACTCAAAACTGCTCCAGTTTCCAAGTGGCACCAAATCAAAAAACAATTTTTTAAAAGCACGCCGATATTGGCGGTTGAAGAAACCATAAATAACAGGGTTATTTGCGTGGTTAGTGAAAAGAAGCGTCATGCACCCGACGTCAACCCAAAATGGAATTTTATGAGTTGGAAGAGCCATTTCAACGAAGTTGCTACAGGCCGGTGGAATAAAGCAAATCAAGTAMGCCATTATGATGATGAAAAGAGTCTTTGTAATTCGTATTTCTTCGACATTGACATTGCCGCCTGCGCCCATTGAGTGAACTTGATTTTGATGATGCCTGACTTGGAGAAAGATCTTGTATGAGCAAAATATAATGACAACCAAAGGACCAGGAACTGACATCCCTATGAGCAAGATGGAATAGGACATGGAAGTRCTAAAATAGAACATACAAGTCGCTTTGTTCGATTGGAAGACATATTTGGACCAACCCAGAAGAGGTGGTAGAGCGAGGAGGAAAGACGAGACCCAGATCAATAAAATCATTATGATTAAGTTAGGTGTGTTAAACACCTTTTTGTATTGATTGGTCTTCACAACCATAAAGTAACGATTGATGCTTATTGTCATAAGACTGTACATTGAAGCAACGATGAAGAGAACCGAGACAAAACCGTGCATTGTACACAAGTCTTCCCCGAAAACCCACCGACCATGCGTCGAGATGGTAATCAACATRAAAACCATGTTCAGAGACTCCAGCATGTCAGCACAAGCCATGGAGACTATTAAACTCTTGCCTCGTGTCCTGACTCTTGTTCCTTGTACACTGACAATGATAACGAGGATATTCCCAAACACACCGATCAAGATGATGATTGTAAGCCAGCAGCCCATGACTAYCACGCTTGGTAAAGTCCAATCTCCAGTACTGTTGAAAGCCATGGCTGTTCCAATGAAAATTTGTTCTTGTTTTTTTTTTCTTTTAAATCACTCGTTAAATGTTCTTTTTTGTCTTTATCGTTTAAGAAGGTAGTAGACTAAGCGTGGAGCTCTCTGTTTTTGGATTTCAAGCTGTGTCGCGGAACCGGTAGCTGCGTGTGGAGTAACTTGGAGGAATAGCAAAGGCTTTCATATTCTAATTAATTGGAATCGGTATTATTTGCCTAATGAAAATATGGCATATTTGCGAACAGTGCAAATACTCTTTGTCACACGCAGTTTAGACATCTGAAGAGTTTTTTTCAGCTCTTTTAACAACGATTTTTACTGTTGAAGAGATATGTTTGTTGAGAGCACTCCTTGCTGAAAAAATACAACGCCAGCTGTTGAGAATAAACTAAAAAAGTTAGAGCTATTCTTTAAAGAGTATGAAGAAAGTCATTACTTTAACAGTTTTGGCACCTGCAGGCTTTGTTGTCACGCACTAGATCAGGGTTAAACAGTAATAGTTTTGAATACAAATACCAAGAAGAGATGAATGTTTACCGAAATGAATTTGAAATGCCAGAATACGGAAGAAGACCAGCTACATTGAATCATAACTTGTAGTCACCCTTGTGGCCGATTGATGTTTGAGTATTTGTTGAAAGGTTCTGACAAGGACGCCCCCGTCACTTTCCCTCAACGAAAATAACCAATGAGATGAGAGTGTATAATAAAGAGTGAGAAGTTGTCCTCATCGACACTAGCAACTGATATCTAGTAATTGTTAAGTTGACTTCACCAAGAACTCAGATCGTCATTAAAATCTCCATGTAATTAAATATTGCTTTGCAAGTTTCATAAAAGCTTAAAAACATATTCCAAGGAATAAAACTAAACTTTAGTTATATCTAAAACATCAGATTATTTCAACTCGTTAATGACTTAGGTAGGARGTAGTTGTTACTATAAACATTATCTGCTGACACGATGTTCTGCAATATCAGTGACTTTGTCAGGCGATGTTTACATTACAGTTATTGTAAAAAGATAAATTTAACACCGTAAAAAAGTATGTGAAATAACTTACTGACGTTTCGGACGTTAATCCTTCGTCGGAGTAAAAGTGATGTTTACATTAGGAATGATGACTTATTTTAATATAGGGCTAGCTCGTAGATAGCTCCTTTATTTTTTAATAGTTAAAATATTTTTTTTGAAAACATTTGTTATCCATGAAAGGGTTGGAAAAAAAGCAGCTGCAACGATATGTTCTTCTTCTTGACGATTCTTTGCTTGCTAACGATAACAAAAACATCAGTCGTCAAATGTATAAAAAACACTCAATGAACCGGGACACGACAAGAGCCGTTTGCTAGATAGCACAGTTTTTGATTTAGTTCGKTTTGATGATGCTAATAGCTCACACTCGATATTTCGGGGKTTTTTTTGATTTATAAAAACAAATAAAGCGGCATTACATGGTCACGAGGAGATGTGGATGTCCATCTTCGAGTTTACATGTCCGATTTATCAAATATTGGTTCCGATATTAATGACGCATTGTCTGTTTTGGCGACGTGTAGATTAGTATTGATAAAACAATATATAAACATAGAGCTCGCTAGGTCCGCTAGGCAGCATCACTGATCAAACAGTATTCGCACTAGAGCGTGCGCAAAGCAATACTTCGATTCGAAATGGACTTATCTTTTTTAACTCGGAGATTGCGTAAGCAATCGAAGAGTTATTGGAGGGGGATGATGTGTCACTCACTCACTTTCTTGTTAACTTTTAAAGATATCCGCTGAAAAAAATCGCAGGCTCTCAAAATCCGCTACAAAAAAATCGCAGGCTCTCAAAATGGCGGACCAAGAAATTACCGCGGAAATATAACGTCTAAAGCTTGTCTAAGCGACAATTTTCGGTGAAATTTACTTGACTTATTGGARTAAATCGTACTTAGTCATTTTGAAGAAAGTTGGATGGATAGCGAAACAAGTTTTGTAGCCGAATTTGTTGCCGGCGAAGACTGAYTGCGATCGTAGGTTTGTTGATGATACTACAGCAATGTTTTAGCTGATCATGATAAGCTCTGTGGTACACTTTTCAATTTCATATTCTGTTAATTTTTTTTCAAATCACCCTACAATCTCCGAGTTGTGTTGCCATTGGCAGCTTGATTTCTATATTTATCTATTTTCATTTTGATTCATTCTTGTTCACAGACATTTTTTCCGGGACGTGCAAACGCATCAGAACAAAATTGGCGGAAATTATTGGTTTGGGTCTTTGATTTGGATATTTCTTTTTTATTATTGATTTTGCTGCTAGTATGGATTTTGACGATTCTGAAAGAAAATGTCGACTTTCCAGAAAAAGTTCGGCGTTATTTTCACGCGCAGTGAATGAGTTTCCTATTGCGGGACCCCTGTGTCGGTCATTTTCAAAGGATTCAAAAGATTTAAAAAACGGTGGCCACGTTGTAGGAATGAACAATTAATACTAATGAGAAATCCTATATTGAAGTTCATCAAAGATTGCCGCTGTGACGTATAGTGAAAACGAAGAATTTGGCAACAATGGAATTCAAGCAAGGATTATAAAAGCACAGTGCCAGTTTTCTTATCCATGATTCGAGTAAAGATGGAATTTTAAAAAGTGCCTAAGACGCCAGTCGCCTGACAAAATAATTTCTGATTTTCTGTGAGCTGATTCTATATAAAGTAAATAATTGAATGGTGAAATATTTCTGCATTTCATTGTTGCGTCTTTGAGTTTTGAAGGTTTAATCTTCCAATATGCTAATGATAATGACATCAAGGGAGGCTTCATTAGATATACGAACTTTGAAACAGTCGCTCAAAAATGTTTTCATGAACGCCATCTGGGAATATGTTGATTATTGCATATGATAATTTTAAGGCTATGAAACCATTTTTAAGCGATTCCTTCAAAGTAATTTGTTTATCTAATGAAGCCTTCTTTAGACAGGCTCAAAAAATCAAATCTATATATCGATAAGGCATGATGAACATTTCCTGGAGATAAAAATATATGTATTTTTGAGTTGTTTTATTGTTTTACTAAAAAGGCATTCTGGTCAAAGAGGAACATCTGCTTCTTGCTGTAAATGCTTGTATTGTGTTGCAGAAATGTAGCTCTGTTCGCAGAGTTCAATAGTAGATTAACATGGAATTATTATATTATTAAGTTGTATACTCTTTTTAACAACATAAACAAACAATTTCTTATGCCTTGGTTGCCTGGATGGTTCATACTTGCTTTTACAACAGTTCTTAATGAAATTTTAAGCAGGCGTTGTTTTATAATTAACGGATTAACATATTAAAAAACGTTTCCGCAATGTATTCAAAATCAAAATTTTATTTCTAAAATTATAGGAGATAATTTTAGAGGTTTTTCCCATTTTCAAGGGCTTTTTTTCAAGCGCACTTGAAGACGAGTTTTCAATTCCAGGACTTTTCAAGGATTTCAAGTAGTAACTAGCGTGAACCCTGCATCTAGTTTCGTAGCTAGATTTTAGACCAAACTAGTTTCATGAACGAAAAGACTAGTACATTGCTCTATTTCAATACAAAATGCAGTGCTACACATATACCATATGAAACACAAAATACTAGTATGCACTATACATTTAAAAAGTATTTTGAGCCAACTTAGTCTATATAACTGATCTACGCCTGCTTTGAGCAGAAGTACATAACCCCATAACACCCCTAAAAGATCCCGGAAGTCTTGAAAAAAGGGCGTGGCTGACTGATTTTTAACCCCTAAGAGATTGCATGACAAATATTTTTAAATTAAATCAGTTTCAAGGATAAAACGCAGAGGAAAATCAATATCGATGGGCTCTTTGTCTTCTTTTCCGAGATTGCAGAGAATGCAAATTGAT